CGTCGTCTGTCTTATCGCAGAAATTCCTCCTAACATTTGAGAACCTGCATTTGGTAATGGATTATATAGGCATATATGCAGTCTAATAGAAGTGGCAAGTTCACTGGCTGGCAGTCGATGACCACTTCAAGGTACGACCTACTATCCAGGCCAAACGCGGAAACTGCCATGTTGACTGACTTTTCGGCGACTTAACGGCCCTGGTTTTTGAAGAAAGTGGAAAGATGATCACGAAAGATGATGATGAATGGATTTGGAAGAAGCCTGCAGTGACACACTTTAAGTTATTTACATAGAGAAACTGGAAAAAAAGAAAGTCACTGAGGATCGCTTTTCCCTATCTGAGTCTCGAACCTAGTACCCGCGATACTCAGTTCTGCAGCGTTACAGCAGAGGGCCTTTACCGTTGCTATTTAACGTGTTCAAATCAAACAGTGTCGTTAAATATGAGAAGAAACGATCAAAAGCAGGGAAGGAAGTGGTCGCTGTTTTTAAATTATTCTCAGAAATTTGAAACTTTTATTGTCCGAATTGGTCATAAAATTACGCGCTTTTCTGAGTTTTAGTTTAGAATTAAGGAACTGTATTATTACAGTGAATGTCGAAATTTCTGTAAAGCTATCAGACCTTTGTCACCCGTCTAGTACCCCTCCCTCCAGTCTAAAGAGGCCACCAGTTTGAACCCCGAGGATAGGTAGTTTTGTTCGAAAGCTGCAGATGCAGCCTCTGTGGATGCCAAACCATTCATGACAAAATCATTTATGGCCGGTAATACATCCTGAGACATCGTTCACACTTTGAGAGGCCAAGTCTAAAAGAAAACTGCGTGTCTGCATCTCCGAACCTTAACGGAACTCCATTGCGGGACGCGAGTTTCAAGAAAGTAACAACAGTTATGGCCAGAGGGAAACTGGGAGATGGAGCATTCTGGTAACTAGATTTAAGCATAAACAGTAATCTCCCAGATCACTCAGCCTAAAATATCACAGCTGAAGCCTGACTAGCGACATGGTCCAGATCAAGAAAGGCTGGAAGGCGTGGTAATGCATCTCATTAACACCGAGGTGTCTTGGTGACGTGAAGTCAGTGGAAATTAAAAAAACAGTCGAAATCGGTCACGGTCAAAGTCAGCTTAAGTTAGTGATAATACATTCTTTTAGGGATACCAGTCGCGTAAGGTGCCTTAATGAAGACGACACCGACGTTTCGAGAACCATCTTCGTCCACGTCCTCTGAGGTCGGTGTTTTCTTCAACAAACCACCTTACGCGGCTGGTAGCCCTAAAAGAATGTATTATACTTAGTCACCGTGGAAGCTTCAGATCACAAGTCAGTGACAGTGGAAAGCAACCAAAATTGTTCGACTCGTGTATTGAACTTAATGCAGAAATGATCTTCGACGCATTACGGTCTACATCCGTATTCAGCAACATTGGGTTTGCATAAATCATTCAGTAACTTTGTATCCAATATCAGAAATTTATTGGAAAAATTCTGATCGATCGATCGATCAATCATATCGATGTAAATACATTTATATATGGACTTAAATCAACGCTGTTGTAACCATTAATGCTTCAGTTGTTAGTGTATTATATTGTATGTTAATAATACCTTAAGATTTCGTGGCCAGTGATTGTGTTATTGTTTGTGGTGTGTACGTAAGGAAAGAGGAGTTTTTTTTAATAATAACTAAATTTATTTCAACCTTCGACCAAATACACAACACAGAAAAAGAACGTTGTAGAATTATTTAACCAAGGCGCTGTACCCAGTAGTTCCCAACATCACCGTTAGAGCGTGTCCAATTGACGCTTTTAGGTTATGTATAAAGAATATGCCACATCATTCAAGTTCATCAGTAAATAACGCCCACATAAGAGAAGGAATAGATCGCTGACGAAGTAGAAACATAACCTCATATTTTATTCATGAAAATTTGCCTACTTGTCTTCTCACAAAGGAAACTGGGGCGAACTGTAATCCAATATGCATACTTTTCACCATTATCCGACATTGTAAAAAGCGCACTTTTTAAACGTCTTCTGTAATAAATATATATTATTTAAATCTTGTCCGTCTAATCACAATAAATTCTTATTGAATATTAAAATATTACAATAATTAACATTTAAAATATTTAAAATATTAAATGATGTTCTTTATCGAAATATTCGATTTATATTAGACCATCTCATGAATAGCTGTCTTCTGTAATGTTCTATTTGTTCATCGCAAACTGAATACGGGGCATTGACTTAGTTTTGATTTTTACTTATAACAAACTAATCAATAAATGCAATATGTAGCCTACAGCAGTGTCTTTGTTACGTCTCTTAACCTGTTAATTTTAAATAAGAATTACGTGTAAGAGAAAACGTCTTCTGTTTTACTAAACTTTACAAATTACGTGTTCATCGTGTCTTCTTTACGTAATATAAATAAAGAACGAAATAACAGAATTCTATTTAACTGTGTAGTAGCGTGTTTGGACTCATACGCAGTTGAATAATACGTACAGATAGACGATCGTATATATGTTAAGTTCTTGCACATTCTGTACTGAGCGCGTAAGAAGGTACTGTGATGCTCCTCCGAGATCCATAGTACCTTTTAAGATTCACAGACACTGTCATTAACACTTAGAAGTGTTAATATTTTAATGTTTTCCGTCAAATCACAATTTTAATAAGATAATAAAATATTTAAAATATCATTTCACGTTCCGCATCGAATGATCGATTTACAAATTGGAACGTCTCTTACGACATGTTTCGGTTATATTTAACCGTCCTCAGGTATAAATTAGATTGGTAAATTTAAAACTCGAATTACAAGTAATTCGAGTTTTAAATTTACCAATCTAATTTATACCTGAGGACGGTTAAATATAACCGAAACATGTCGTAAGAGACGTTCCAATTTGTAAATCGATCATTCGATGCGGAACGTGAAATGATATTTTAAATATTTTATATTTTATTATCTTATTAAAATTGTGATTTGACGGAAAATATTAAAATATTAACCTAATTCACAATATGACGCAAATATACTAACTTAGAAGTGTGTCTCTCTTCAAACACTAACTGCACTACAATATGCCCAGTTCAGTTGCTGTTTTAAGAAAGACGCTTATCTGTTTTACGTAGTCATCGAACAACAAAACGCCGAAAGTTATAAGAAAATTAAAATCCAAATATTGAAAAAATATTGTAGCATAAGTTATGTTCACAATTTAAACTCAGTATCTGTTTATTTTCTCCACGTAAAATCGTAAAGAAAATTTGTAGGAAAACGTCCATTTGGAAGACCTTAAAGGATAAATTGATGGAAGGGAGGCTTGTAGTTTGTCAGGAAAGATGGCGTATGCTATATTTCAGTGTCGTATCTAATGGAGGATTTTGGAATTTGTAGCATTGAGCCTTTAGGTTCTACAACCAGAGAATTAATTGGTTATAAGTGGAATAAGCCACAAGACTGTCAGGCTATTTGGTCCCGGCCTAGAATCGAACTGGGTGCTTTCTCCGCTGGAACAATACCGTAACGCTCAATGCGACTTCTAAGATCTTTAATAGCAGAGATCGTCCGTCCGTCCGTCGCGTTGACGGCAAGGAATTATGGTTCGTTTAATTGGTTCCGCTTGGCATTGTGGGACAGGCTGTTTCGACTCTCTTTATTCACTTGTTCGTGACGTTCTGTCACGTTGACTTGCATATTCTGGAGAACAAATCTGGCATTTGGTATTAAACTTAAGTGTTCGTGTTTTTAAATAAGCCACCTTAAAGAGACTAAAAATGTCTTGAACCCAGTGTATTTGTTCGGGAGAATGTGGCATGTAAAATAATAGCGCAGAGGAATAGTAGTATAAATTTGATTTTAATTCAGTCGATTTTCAAAGTAGCATAGCTGATGAACAACAAAAACTTTGAAAAGAGACCGGTTAGTTCAAATGACTGAAGATATTTTAATGGAATAAAACATAAGATGATATAGTTGCGTCATATTGTGAAATTATGTATTTAATTAATTATTCGGTTTTTGTCCGTCTAATCACAATTCAAATTTAAAATTTACAATTTACAATTAAGATAATTAAAATATCATTTGATGTTCCTCATCGAACAATCGATTTACAATTGGAACATCGATTGTTCGATGAGGAACATCAAATGATATTTTAATTATCTTAATTGTAAATTTTAAATTTTAAATTTGAATTGTGATTAGACGGACAAAAACGGAATAAAACATGTTAAATAAATCAAATTCTTGTTGAATTCAGAAGTGCAGCCGAAGAAATGAAATTGAGATTTTCTAACTAAAATTTCGCACGCATTTTAATCTCTTCTGAACGTTAATTGTATATATTACTGCTAATTATTTTATTTCATATATTTATTACACAGATCAATACTGAACGTAGATGAGTGCTTAGCTCTCCTGCTCCATATTCTGGATGTCCCGGGTTCAAATCTCGTCTCGGAGACCGGTTATCATGACTGAAGTTTTTCATGGTTTTCCTCAATCACTGTAGTGATAATACCTTAAATTAGACCACGACCGTTTCCTTCCACATCCTTTCCAAATTATTATTCACCGTCTTCCTTTCATTTCACGTTGATTACTCTGAGTTACTGAAATTACTTCGCTAAATAAACTCCAAAATTCACAGGTCTGCATTCTCAATGACAGGGTAATCTGACCTTCCGAAATGTGTATTATGACACGTGAGAATAATTGTTTAATTTGAGGGGGGGGGGGTTCCGAATGAAATGTGTCATGCTTTTGGACTTTATACCATTTAACTTTTGTAGTTCTGTTTTAATTAAAACTATTACAGGTGTTGGTCTTGATTTTGGTAAATAACTTAAGTGCATTTGAATGAACGTAGATAATTCTTAGGGACGTTTTACTTTATTATATGTAGAAACTGCCTTACGGCGATGAAGACATTATTTTGCCTCTCGTGACGATGCAGAGAATGGTTTAAGTACTTACCAGCAGTTGCGTTGATCGCTTCAGGGACGATTTGAACCGTCTCCTTGGATGGAGGGCGTGGAGGCATCGCAGTTGTTGCAACTGTCGTCGCCGTACTCTGCTCTGCTGCTGTTTCTGGTCTCCTGTTGGCAAATACGAAACTTAGAGGCTCTGTCATGTTCGTAAAATTTCGATTCAGAACCCGGAACAGTTTGTATTTATGATTTTGTAAATTTGAATTGGTTCAGTGGGTTGGTAGGCGGATGGAACTGGCTCATTTTTCATAAATAATGGAAAATGAAACATAGATTAAGTCTCACCTGAGTCTGGTTAATTCTTCCTCGTGTTTGGTTAACTTAATCTGGTTCTCTAATTCTGTCATGTGCCTGCTTACAGCGAGGACTGCACTGGTGTAATTGTGATGTTTGGTGAATTTGCACTTGAAATCATCAGGCGAGCCACAGTGAAACAGATAACAGCTTCCTGGATTCTGGAAAATAATTTTTTAAAGTGTATTTTGAATCTTTAACCATATTTGTTACAAGGTCCCATAAATTTGTCAGTACTCACTTTTTCTTCAAACACGAATACATCGCATGAACTTGTTTCACAACACAATCTTAAACACTCTTCTCTTGAACTTAAATCTATTTCGTTGATATATTTAGCTCCCATTGCCCTGGAGTCCTGTGTTCGAATTATTTTGTCCCTATGTATATCAAAATTATCAACACAAGTTTGAAAATCCAGGTCAAAACGTTTGGATACTGTTTTGATTTGCTCTTGAGTGTTGGGGACATTATCACCTCTGGTTGTTGGAATTATACCACTGGCGATAGTAAAATATACACAAAACACTAACTTAATAACATATCGTATTTCAACAACCATTTTTCTAACAAATTCGATATAAATAATGTAGTACTAATCTAAAATGCCATGACGACGTTAAAAGACGCACTTCAGGATCGTATCAGCTGTGAACATAAATATGGCTGACGGCGATCAATGATGTTACCTGGACAGAGTCTGCGCGTCGTGTTACGTCATTTGGCGTCTCCAAGAAAATGGCGCGCGAATTAAAATATCCACGTAGAAAAATCTTTTATGACGGAATATTCTTTTGAATGAATTTACGTATTTCACGTTTATGTTCTCCATTATTGACGAAGATTTGAGGTTTTCACGGCTATGAGTATGAAGATTTCTGTCTTCTG